GGGCGAGATTTGGGAACGAGGGGCAGGAGGAGGCACGCACACACCCGCGGCTCACTTTCCCAGCTTTGCCCAGCCCTTACGGCTCTGGCGCGGCCCTGGCAGGATGAGCGGAGGGTCCGGCGGGGAGGCGCTCGCTGTCCTAGCCGTTTTTTCGGGGGTCAAAAAAAAATAAGGCCCGGCCTTATTATGTGAGAAACACGGTAGGGAGACTGAAACCATTCCAACAGTACCTGCTTATCTGGTTTTGCAGGAAGCGCCGGAGATTCACTTTCCGCTTAGTAGGTCGGCTCTTGCAGGGCTTCTGCAGAGCACGCATCACATGGGACGTTGCTGCTGACACAAAGGTGCACAGATCACTCCCGCCTTCAACAGGAGCCAGGGGCTGTGGTGGAGATGCCAAAATTGGGTAGTTGCGGTGAAGCATTCTCTGTCTCCGTATGAGTGAGATTCAATTCCGGCTGCAGTGCAGGGAAGTAATGGCCAATTATACACCAAGATGACTGACCTGTCATTTCCCTGATCAGCCCTGGATCCCTTTTAAAAAATGGGTGTCATGTCAGTAATTGTTCTAATTTCCTGCACTAAGCCTGATTTGAATAACAGGTGACAATTTTCTGTTAGATGGTGAGCAATTTCACACTTGAGCTAAGAACTCTTTTAAGAGTTCACTCTCAGGAGCTAGTGATCTGTTACAGGGTTTCTCTTAAGAGTTTTGAGACTCTGGGGAAAAAGAATGGAGAACCAAAGACAATTCCAAGAAAAAGCAGAGCTGACAACCACAGGGAAGAAGGAAGAGCCGATGAGTAGACTGGCTCTTTGAACCTTTCTGGATAAAGGAGAGAACTAGAGATCACCCACAAATGCTCCATATGCTCCTTGTAAGAAGACTGCAAGACAGTTGTCTCCAGCAGGTTTTAAGCAGTTTCAATTGAGGGAATAGTTATCTTGCTCAAAATGCGGTTGCCACCTTTGAAAGGAAACTTTGCATACTTCCTTTTCTAATCAATTTTGGAAATAGTTTGTTAACTACTTTTTAGCCATTACAAACCTTTAGGTGACAGGTTTGAAAGCACTGGGTCATTTTGCATTCAATCCTGAATAAAATAAAGTTTTAATTACAAGGTTAAGAATTAAGAACAAGCTTATTTTTGGAAAAAAAAACCCCATCAAAAGATGCATTAAAGCTTTGATTTTAGAATGTTGCAGGGGTCCAGATAAATTTGGAATCAGATTGTGGAGAAAATCCTTCCTTTGGGAAAATACTTTTGTTTAAAAAAAAATTTAAATAAGATTTTAAAAATTGGATACCAGAGAGAGCTAAATATTTAAATTGAAGGAGAAAACACATAAACCTTTGACTAACAGTTACAGAATGATACAAAATAATCTCTGGAAACATTGAAGGATGCTTTTGAGGAATGAAGTCAAAAATTAATATTAACAATGTCAACAGCAATATCTGCTTCTATGGATAGACTGAGTTAAAAGTGAACTTACAAATGACAGGCTTTATGAATGACATGGAAAAAGATATTGCGCTAGACATACAAAAGAAACCGACTGATGTTTTGATCAGATGGATGATAGGATCAAATTTTATGGAACAAGTGAGTCTTCCATTTTTTGATGGTATGTTACATTTTAAAAAGGTTGTATGCATGTAAAGGAAAACATACTTTCAATCCCACCTACCTCTTCTTTGACGCGGTAAGCTAAAGAAGGCAGATTCCCACTAAAGGCACCAATATATGTTAATCTTCAGCCTGTCATTTCTGTGTCTCTTCATTTTTCCATTCCATTCATTTTTCCTTATCCTGTGCTGCTCGTATCAGTCCTTTTCCACAATGTTGTCTACTCGTTTTGGAGGGTTGTCTGAAACTGGTACCCAGCACAGAATAAAAGATGATAGTGAAGCTTAGGAATGCCACTCCTTTCTTCTCTTCCTCCCGTTGAAGTACACCAACGCTGTTTAAAACAACAACAACAACAACACCGGGTGATATGGTTGTTAATTAAAGGGGGGATATAATGGGACCCTCTACTCCGTAAATGGTGCTGGCTGTAATGCCAGAAAGGATAGTCCTAATTTAACTTCAAGAATCAATATTTCAACAAGATATCTTAAAAGCTTTTTAAGAACAGTTAGAGCTTTTGGTAGGGTCACAGGAATTCCTATTTCCACTTCAGCTTCTCTAGGTGATGGCTTAAGAGAGAAATCTCTATATTCTCCTTTCCCTCCAGACCTTATGTAAAACATTTATAGAGCTAAGGTCCTCTATCCACACAGGCCTCCTTCAACTTAATGGGCTTATTTTGACATAGACCCATATAGAATTGTGGTATAAAATCACTTTTGACTCAGTTTCCTCATTTTACTCCTAACTATGTCCATTTTTCCTCTTTTATGGCAAAAATAAGGGGTAATGAAAATGTAACCTTGTTAATTTCTTCCTGCAAGGTGCTGATTAAAAGCAGTTTTCCAGGTACCGGGTGGAAGAAAGTTAGCAGCCGTACATCATGTCTGCCTGTAGCTTGTTCTAAGCTTTTATATCCACCCCACTTAATTATTATTATTTCATGCATCATCGCCCCATTTGCTAACAAAGCTTGCAGACTCTTTGGAGGCATCAGTTAAAAATCTATAGGTAATTATTTTCTGCAACCCTGGCCAAATTACTGTTGCTTTCATTTCCTTTCCCCCACTCTTTCACTAATTTTCTCCTGATGTTTTGTAGTCCCTCAGGTTGAAACCCTCAGCAGAAGCTTCCTCATTAGCACATATTTCTTGCTGAGATGTGGCTGTTATTGCTACTTGCACCCATTTCAGATGTCCTCACCTTCACTGGCCGCTGAATGTTCAAAGCACCATGGAGATACCAGCCACAGAGGAGAATCTGCTAGCACAAAAGCAAGCAACAACCTTGTTGGCCTTCTTCCTTAGCTTTAGCACTCTGAACGAATGTCCTGCATTATAAAGGCAATTATAAAGTAATTGCTCATTGTGATTGCCATTAAACGCAGGCTCTCTGCTTTCAGAAAGGAAGATGGGAGGATAGAATGAGAAATAATTGCTGAATTGATGCAAAGGTTTAACTATTATTGCCATCTCCTTTCCAACTTCCTTTGTTCAACAATCCAGCTCATTATCAGCTGTTTGGCCAGCAACATGAAGAGCTAAGTCACCTGCTTGCACATTAAGGACCACAATGCAGAATAATAAGAAAAAGTAGGTATATTTGATGTCAATGTTGTACAGGGATGTCAAACTTAAGGCCCACGGGCTGCATCTGGCCCGTGGGGTGTATTGATCTGGCCTGCGGGGCTGCCCTGGAAATAGCAAAGGACTGGCCCACAGTGCCTCTTCCAGCGAAAACAGAGCTTGGGAGGGCTACACAACCCCCCCCCCTCAGCTCCACTTTTGCTGGCAGAGGGATAGCAAAACAAACTAAAAACCAAACAAAAGGAGAAATGTTTCCCCTTTTGCATTTGAGCATGCAAGAAGGGGCAGGAAAGGAGAAAGGGAAAGAGGAAAGAAAAAGAAGGAAAGATGGAGAGAGAGCAAGGAAGGAAAAATGAGGAAAGAGGAGAAGGAAGAAGAAAGGAGAAGAGGGAAGGAAAAAGAAGAAAAAGAAGGAAGGAAGTTTATAATGAGAGTGAGGGAGGTCTCAGGGAAGTCCTGCCTTAGTACTTGGCCACTACAGGTATCCCTGACATGAGTGACGTAGAGCTGGCCATGGCCACCCTGAACTATGCCCCCGAGGTCAAATACAACCCTGATGCGGCCCTCAATTAAATTGAGTTTGACACCCCTGCTGTTGTATGAGGAAAAAACTTTCAGGGACAGCGGTGGTGGTGAAGGGCTGGGAAAAAAAGACATCATAAAAGCAAAACAGAAACAAACCACTACCAGGGGAAAAGGAATAAAAATCTTATCTCGACATTCCTCTTTCTGACAGTTGATAACTTGAGAAAGCGAGTATTAATTAGGAAAAGAGGATAAGACTAGACTAAATAACTATCAGCCCTTTGGGTTGCTTTTAACATAAACTCTTTGTTTAGATAGAAATCACTGTACTTCCCACGTTATGTGATTCTTCTTCTTCTTTTTCTTCAGCGTTTGTCTCGCGCTCTGGCGAGGTCCGCTAATGTCCTTGAGTACTGCTTCCACGCCTCTCTGTCTGCCACGTATGTCGGGTCTGCCTTCGCGATCTCTAGATCGGCCTTGATCGTGTCCATCCAGCGTTGCTTAGGTCTACCACGCGGTCTCGCTCCTCCGACAATCACCTTCATCGCAGATTTGATGATGGATTCTTCCTTGGCGCGACTCACATGGCCGAACCATCGTAGCCGGGACTGCCTCATGACCGTGGGGATGGGCACGACGTTGAACTGTCTGCGCACTTCTTCATTCCTGACGCGATCGAGTAGGGTGAGGCCTACCGACCATCGGAGCATTCGCATCTCCATCGTCTGGAGTCTGCTTTCGACTTCTTTGGTCGTCGGCCAGCACTCTGCGCCGTATATGGCCACGGGGCGCACCACAGAGTTATAGATTTTCGCCTTCAGGCGCATCGGCATCTTCTTGTCACAGAGGACGCCCGTGACGGACTTCCATTTGCCCCACGCTGCGTTGATCCTGGCTGCCACCTCAGTTTGTAGTAGGCCTTCTTCCCCAAGAGTAGTTCCCAGGTACTTGAAGGTGGAGGCGCGCGGTAGCTCCTGCCCGTTCACGTGGATGGAGCCTGTCGTTTCGTTGTCAGTGGTCAGGTATTCGGACTTCTTTAGGTTCAACCGGAGCCCGAACTGCTCGAGGCGGTCGTGCCACTGTTGGACTAGGTGCTCGAGTTCAGCCTTGCGCAGGTTGGCCAGGAACACATCATCGGTGTAGAGCAGCGTCCATGGGGCGGGCGTGTGCAGGTCGTGTGTAATTGTGTCCATCACCAGAATGAACAGCAGTGGTGAGAGAGCAGAGCCCTGGTGTACGCCGACGGTGATATTGAACTCCTCTGATATCCCAGCTGCCGCTTTTACACGGCTTTTGTGACATCTGTATAGGAGTTGGACCCATTGTACGAGTAGCTCGGGCACGCCGTGATCTCGCAGTGCGTACCAGATGAGATCGTGCGGGACTCGGTCGAAGGCCTTTTCCAAGTCCAAGAAGGCGGTATGGAGCGGGATTTTCTTCTCTCTGTGAGCCTCCATCAGCATCCGCGCACCGAAGATGGCATCGGTGGTGCCGCAGTTCTTGATGAATCCAGCCTGGTTGACGCTGATGTCGACGATGTCCCGAATGCGCTTATCGAGGACGCGTTCGAAGATCTTCATAGTGTGTGACAGTAACCTGACCGGTCTGTAGTTGGAGCAGTCCGCTGGGCTGCCCTTTCCCTTCCAGATCGGAACAGTGGTGCTGCGGTACCAGTCGTGTGGCACTATTCCCGTGGAGACGATGTTGTTGAACAGCTCGCACAGCCACAATGCCGAGCCCGGTAGTGCCTTTTTCCAGAAGTCGGCAGGGATGTCGTCTGGTCCTGTTGCCTTACCGTTTTTCATGGCCTTGATGGCGTCGGTGACCTTGCTGGCGTGAATGCCTGAGACTGGGCCTTCGACGGGGTCACCTCGCGGGGTTCGTGGGTGTGGGAACTCCTCGGTGGAGATCTTCTCGAAGTATTGCCGCCACCTCTCGGCAGCGTCTCTGGGGTTGACGATCAAATTTCCCCTTTCGTCGTTGATCCCATGAAACTGGTCAATGTCCAGGGTCTTCCTGTGTCTGCTTTTGGCTAGGCGGTAGATCTCATTCTCGCCTTCTCGCGTGTTCAGCTTCTCGTAGATGTCGTCGTAGTGGGAGCTTCTGGCTGTCGCTACTGCTTTCTTGGCTGCCTTTTTGGCCGCCTTGTACTCGCAGAGCTTCTCGCTGGTCTTGTCCTGAAGAAAGGCCTTGTAGAGCCGTTTCTTCAGGTGCACGGCATCTTGTACTTCCGGTGTCCAGAGCCATGTATCTCGTTCGATGCGTCTCCGTCCTGGCTTGGTACAACCAAGCTGTTGGCAGCCGGCAGTGTGAACAGTGCTCTTCAGCATGGACCACGCTTCCTGTGGCCCGTCGACCATCTGCAGGAACTGCTCCGGTTTGATGAGGGGTCCCGCCATCTTCTTCTGGTTCCCACGTTATGTGATGGTATTTGCTATTATTGTTGATATTTATATTTATTTGGATCTCAACACTGATCAGTAGTTTTTAAAACAATATAGTACACATATGTATTCTTTGTACATTTAAACTTCTTATCTTCAAAAGCAATCTGCAATAATGGGACTTCCGGTTTGTCGGCTTCGGCAGCGGCAGGGATTCGCGATCCTGCGCGATCCCTGTTGCGCTAGCCGTCTTGGTGCCTCCGATCTGGACGGGTTTGGAGGCTAAGGTTGCCCCGTAGAGGCAGCCGAAGATAAGAGGGATCCAGACAGGGGGTTGGGGTTTTCGCAGACCCCTTCCCCACCCGGCTTAACCCTCTTTTCTCAAGGCGGTGGAGCGGCAGTCAGCAATGGCCGCCACAAAGAAGCTGACAGCTGGACAAGATTGTGCTGGAGGAAGAAGGAGAAAGTTCTGAAGCGAAAGTTTTTTGGCTGAACTGGGACTATAAGATACAAGTATTATCCTGAAAATCCTGATTTTTTGAAAGATACTTTGTTTCCAGAAGAGATTTACAAGCGGCGAGTGAAAGTGCTTAAAGAGAAAGTTTACTCTCCTTCCACATGGATTTAACAAATGGATATTGAAAATCCTGCTATTTTACAGAAGGTAAAAATTTAAAGCTTTCTGTTATCAGTGGGAAGGGAGAGGACAAAAGGAAAAATTTTATTAAGATTTTGTTGGAGGAGATGCCTGGAAGATTTTGAGATTGGAAGTTAATTGCAATAAGACTTTAAAATACAGATTGGTTTGTTTTTTTTCCCTTGCCAATTGATATTACCCCAGGAAGAAAAAGTGTGAAGAACTTTGTGCTCTGTTTGGATTGTTTGATGACTTTGGGATTTTGGGGAATTGTTTCAAGCTTTGAATTATCTTGGTTGTTTTAAGAAGAAGAAGAAGAAGAGAAAAAAGAAGAAGAAAAGGTTTATAATGGCTTTATCTGTTGTGAACTGAGAGAGGAATATGGTAAAATAAAAAAAGAAGGTAAAGACGGTGTGAGAGAAATTTTTCACTTTTTAGAAATGGCGCTTGCCACTTATCAACAAACACAGCAATTAATGGAGGAGGAGGAGGAAGAAGAAGAAGAAGAAGAAGAAGAAGAAGAAGAAGAAGAAGAAGAAGAAGAAGAAGAAGAAGAAGAAGAAGAAGAAGAAGAAGCCATCTTTAACGAGTTTACAAAGTTGATTAAAAAGGACATAAGACTTAAAAAAACATCCAAGAAAGAGAAAAATAAGATGCAAAATCAATACAATGTTAGAAAGCAAAAGAAAAGAGAAATACAACAGAGAGGGGAAGCTAAGGGGGGTAAAAAGACCAGATGGGATAAGATAGGAAGGAAGAACCCTTTTCCAGCAGTGACCACAATATGATTGACTTTTGTCTCAACATACGCCCACACAAAAATCACCACAATTATGTAATCCCCAATTGTAACTTCAAAAAAGGCAACTATGATCTTATAGACAACGATCTCTCATCCCTTGATTGGCAATCTCTATTCACTGGATGCAATACCGTTGAAGACCATTACAACATATTTTTACTTGAAGTCAAAAGAGTCATCAAACTATATGTACCAACAACAACTCCCAAAACAAAACAAAAAAGCAGATTACCCATAACAATAAGGAAACTTCAATCCAAAAAGAGATCACTCTGGCGGAAAAACAAATCTGGTCACGTTGCCAATTTCAAAAGCCGATACAAAAATTTATGCCACCAGATAAAGACCGAATGCATCAATTATCACATTAAACAAGAGGAAAACCTTTTAAGCACCAATTCCACCCGTGCTTTTTACAATTTTGTAAACAACAAACTAAAAGACTCAAGGTCTATCCCACCCTTGATAGGACCTGATGGTAAAGACTGCAACGACGACACCATTAAAGCCAACATCTTTAACACATTCTTCGGCTCAGTATTTGTAAACAGCAATGGATCATGCCCAGTATTTCCTAGCCGTACCACAGATAACAACAATGATCTAATACATATCGATTTTACAGAAGACAATGTTGAAAAAGCACTACGCAATCTAAAACCATCTCTATCTATTGGACCGGATGGAATATGTGCCTACTTCTTAAAAAAGCTATCCACTGCCATAGCCAAACCTCTAAGCATAATCTTTGAAA